TGAATCTGCGGATTCAGACTTTATGGAAGTAGAAGAGGGTCTAGAAGTTCCCATCTACTTCCACGAAAAAACCAAACAACAGCACAGAAAAGAACAAAAACCATTCATAATGGCCACCCTCGTGTCATGGAACTGTCGCGGTTTCCACCGAAATTTGCTTGACATCAAAGCTATAATAAATGTGTATCATCCTGTGTGCTTCGCAATACAGGAAACAAATCTGAAACCAGAACAACATGCAAAACTTCGGAGGTTTTCTTTCGTCAGGAAGGATAACCTTGCAGGTGAGCGTGCCAGTGGAGGTGTAGGTCTCCTCACCTCACTGGATTATCCCTCAAATGTACTTTCCTTTGACGACATCCCTCCAAGTTGTCGCTACTCAAATTTTGAATTGTTGATTTTTTCTTTATTTGCCTCCAAATGAGCACATTGATCAGCAAGATTTAAATAATCTTAATAGAGCAGCTGCCTGAGCCTTTCATCATAATAGGATTTTAACGGCCATAGTCCGCTCTGGGGTAGTAAAGATACAAATTGCCGAGGAAGACAAATTGAGCAGATGATCGAAGATCATAGCCTTTGTCTCCTAAATAATGGGCAGGATACGTACTTCCATGAGCCTTCAAGGACATTCCACGCTCTCGACCTTGCCATTTGTTCACCATCTCTGTTGCCTTTTTGCACTTTTAGTGTCGGAAATGATCTTTACAACAGCGATCATTATCCCATTTTTGTGTCTCTTGCACGAAGAGGAGCAAACCCCATGTCGAGACTCCCTCGGTTTTTACTGGACAGGGCAGACTGGGAACTCTTCTCTTCCTCTGCAGAGCTCACAGAAAAAATGGTAGAAGATGTGCATATCGATGACGCTGTTGAAGCTGTTACTAATACTATTATTCAGGCAGCTATGCTTTCCATTCCTAGAACATCAGGAAAAAAAAATATTCGGTGGAATCGCGACTGTCATGAAGCACTGAAAAAACAGAAAAAAGCATGGGGTATTTTTCGTAGATATCCTACTCTGCGAAAACCTCATAGCCTTTAAAAGAGCCAAAGCAAATGCACGGAAAAGTAAGAAGGCAGAGCCAGAGGGATTCCTGGATTTCATATGTGTCCTCAATAACATCCTCTACGCCTAGTAAGCGGGTTTGGGAAAGAGTTCGAAAAGCATGCGGAATATATAAAGACCATTCACTTTCCTTTCTGGAAAAAGATGGCCGAGTGATTAGCTCCATAAAAAGAAATTGCGAATAGTTTTGGTGAGACATTTGTTGCCGTATCTTCCAGCAGCAGTTTATCACCTGCATTTCTTTCTATCAAGCAGGACTCTGAGAGAAATTCTATCGCTTTCTGTGTATTCAAACTGTTTGAAAAGATGGTAAACAGACGCCTAGTGTACTTCTTGGAAAAGAATAATATTATATCACCTTATCAAAGCAGTTTTCGAAAGGGGAGAACAACCGTAGATAACATGCTCCTCTTAGAGACATACATTCGAAAAGCTTCTGTAAGAAGAAGTCACCTTGTCTCTGTATTCTTCGACATTGAGAAAGCTTATGATAAGGCATGGAGATACGGTATACTTCCGGGATCTTCACGAGAGTGGCTTGCGCGGCAACCTACCAATTTTCATTCAGAATTTCTTGAACACTAGAACTTTTCAAGTAAGGAATTGGCTCTGTTTTGTTCGGATGTTTTTCAACAAGAAGAGGGTGTGCCTCAAGGCTGTGTGCTCAGTGTAACCCTGTTTCAGTTTAAAAAATAAATTCTGTATTAAAAGAACTTCCTCCCACCATCTTCAGGATCTCTATATGTTGATGATTACAGATTAGCTGTCGAGGAGCAGACATGAGATATGTAGAGAGGCAACTGCAGATGGCTCTGAATAAGATCCAAGAATGGTCAAACAAACAGGGATTTACATTTTCGAAACAGAAAACTGTGTGCGTGCACTTTTTGTAGGAAGCGAGGTCTCCATCCTGAACCTGAGTTATACCTTGAATGGGTACAATGTATTCCAGTTGCGCCTGAAGTAAAATTTTTAGGAGTGACGTTCGACCGAAAATTGACTTTCCTTTCTCATGTTTTAAACCTGAGAAAAAAGTGTACAAAATTTAAATATTTAAAAGTCCTGGGGTGCAGAGCGTTGCTCCATGCTTCGCATTTACAGAGCGCTTATTCCGCTCTAAACTGGACTATGGCTCAGTTGTTTATGGATCCGCTCGGTCATCAGTTTTGTTAAAACTGGATCCTGTTCACCATCAAGGCTCTGCGGATTTGTTCAGGAGCTTTCAGGACTTCTCCTGTGCAGAGCCTATATGTTGACTGTAACGAACCATCACTTTTGAGGCGTGAGCAATTGTCCTTTTACAATATTTTAATATTCTATCTCAACCTGAACATCCCAATAAGCTGTGCTTACTATGATGTAGTGTAACACTTTTTATTTGAAACACGTCCATCCTGTGTTCCTACTTTTCCTTTAAGAGTTCGCCCCTCATTGAGGAACTTCTCCCTCTCTTGATATGCCCCACAAGCAGTACAGAATTTTGAAATCCCACCTTGGGAAAATTCACGGATCCAGCTTCTTGACATTTTCCAACAATCACGGAAAAACAAGCACTAATGAGATCATTTACAGACAAATTTTTGCTGAGCACAGGCACAATTACAGCAGTTATCTTTCCCATATATACGGATGGATCTAAAGTCAACTTGATCATGTGGGATGTCATTTATAATTTGGTGACCACATGGAGGGCAGACGTTTACACGACGCTTCCTCTGTCTTAACCATCTGAACTGACTGCTATATATTATGCGCTTTTGTACATCTCAACGCTCTGCCCATAGAAAAGTTTCATTAGTATATACAGACTCCTACAGTGCTCTTGAAATCTTTAGAATCCTTTTCCCAAGCACTCGAGAATCCTGTGATAGTGGATGTTCTCAAGCTAAATATTAAATTAACAAGTTCGTGGATATGAAATTCTGTACTGCTGGGTTCCCTGGACATACAGGAATAAAAGGGCAAATGAGCTGGCAGACATCGCAGCGAAAATCTGCTGTTGAAACTGTCCAGGCCGCCTCATCCCTTTTAGAGATATCTGTTGTGTCATCAAAGAGAAGATCCGAAAAAATGGCAGCAACTTTGGGATGTTCAGCATTCATAAACAAGTTGAGAAGGGTGAAGCCTAAAATTGAGCATTGGGATACTTGCTAGGAAATCGTAAGGAGGAAGTTCTTTTGACTCGCCTCAGAATTGGTCACACTAGAGTGACACATAACTACCTTCTGAAAGCTGAGAACGAGCCTGTTTGTGCAAACTTGTAATGTTTGTTTTCAGTTTATCACATTTTAATTGAATGTCATATTTTAATAGTCTTCGTGAGAAGTATTTTAATAGCTGCGACCTGCCTCTCGACCGTTTAATCGGAAGAGAGGTCAATAATAATTTGTTTCACTACCTCAAAGGAAACAGGTTTCTATTATTTAATTTGATTTTTGTCTTGAGATTTTATGTTAGAATTTTAATGAATCAGATATATTAAGATTTTATATCTATACTGCATATTTCATTATCTGAATCATATTTCAATTCAATATTTTCATCCCACCATTTCAGTCTCTTTTTACTTGCCTCGAGTTTAAAAGTGTGCTGTTGTCTTTAGACTTTTTTCTTTATCTAAAATCTATAGTTTGGTTTATATGTTGGAAAATGAATCCGGTGCTTGGCGCATATAGCCTGTAGAGCTTTGCGCCATAAATCTACTACCACCACCACCAGATTATAAAAATGCAGAACACCTAATGCTTTGCCTAAATGCTTCATCATGACTGACAAAGATGGATCGCGCTCATTCTACGTTATACCTTTTATCTAACGTGGAGTGAGGTAGAGGGTGAAAACCAGTTTCAGCGGCGACAGTGGAAGATTTGGAAGTAACAAGAGCAGACGAACGGTGATGCAGGAATCAGCAGTGAACGGAGTTTTGGATGAATGTTGGATATGCCTATCTTGTACTCATAACAAAAGAGCCGTTGATGTGATTGATCGTTGCATTGGTGGGCTGTCCAGCTCCTTTCATTGGGAGTGATTAGCTGGGCCAGTTGAGTACTTGCGGAGAAAGGGGAGGAGTTGCATGTTTCTATCACGTCTGGGTCATCACCAGGATGACGACAATGCATTGTGCTGATGGGGCGACTTGATTGATTGATGAAGATTGGTAACTGAAGGATAGCGTTTGGGGTAGGAAAATGTAATATTACTTACTGCATAAAGGATAGCATTTAGCTGTTCAAAGTACATAATGACTCTTAATCCTGAATGCATAGGAAATATAAGTATTGCCTTCATTACATGAGGATCTTGCTAGCGGCAAGCGTCTGGTCAAGATTTTAAGAGCATTTTTATATGTTGCTCCATCTAAAACAGTTTGGTGACTGTATTCACATCCTTTTAATTTTTTAGCTGTATTTTTAAACTGTCTTATTTGGTATAGATGAAATGTTATTAGAGGAACAATTGTCAGTCCTCCCTTGAGAGGCCTTAATGACAGACTGAGCACAGATCGTAAAAATCTCTTGCCATTGGTCATGAAATTATGATTCTTATTATGTCAGGTGGAGTCGTTACTGAACAAGTTATTGCTTTTGCAATGTCAGAGCATGCCTCGTAACACATTTTCTTATGTATGTGTGTGTGTGGTCTGCTGCAAAGGAAACCATGAAAAACTTTATGAATGCAGAATGGATTTCGCTCTTTTATTTTTATAAAAAAAAAATTGTTTTAGTTTGTGCTCTATCAGAAAATTTGTTCACTACAGAAATTAATAAAATACGTGTTTGTTATGTACAGATTTAAGATTTTTCTTTTTTTTTATATATAATATTTTTTTTTTTTTAAATAGAAGGTACATGATAAGATATCCCTGGGGGGAAAATTCTAAGGTTTTTAAATTAATATACTTATATTAAAAATTTCTTTTCTCCTTTTTAAAGAAAATTAGCTTTTCAAAAAATTAGCTCGTCTAAATGCGCTATGAATAGGAGAGCCACTGTTTGGATAGGGGATGTAAGTATGGAATGGTAGGTTTTAATTCTATGCTGAAAATTTCAAAAAAGGGATATATGTAAATTTAATAAAAATTGATTCTATAAATTCTGTTCATTGAAACATTCAAGTGTTAGTATTTTTAAAAAGCAGTTCTATTTTAAAATGTTATTCTTACTGTTAAAGTATTCTTTAAAACAGTATTTCTCAAAGTGTGCAATGTTGAGTTCTTGATTCTGAGTACCAAGGAAGTTGAAGATATCTTAGAGAGGCAGTGAACCAAAGGGAAGGGGTTAGCCAGACCTAGCTATATAAAGTCGTAAAGACAGATATATACTACTTCAGGTTTCAAAGGATAAATACTATTTTAATAATATCATAATAATATTGTTAAGATTAGCTATAATTTATCAAGCAGTTTCAACATATTACATATAAAATACTAGGGATCTTTGCATTTTTTCCCACAATACTTTTCTCAATATATTTAGTCAAATGACATTTTAACCCCTTAACGCATTTGCCCGTGTCTTACACGGGCGAAAGTTTCCGGCAAATTTGCATATGCCCGTGTCTCACACGGGCGCCCTTGTACCTCGCGTTATTTTATTTCTAATGCTTGTCTGAGATCCGTTCCAGTAAAAATAAATAGGCTAGATTATAATTAAACTTATTTGACATAGATGGCACCACTATTCAGCATTTTCTTGTGTAAACCACGTGGCGCATTTTGATGATTAGCTATAAGTTTGCTAGGAATTCTTTGCTATAAAGTAGTCGTTTGGTGTGGAAAAGGTAATATATATCCATTTTATTACGTAAATATAAAAAAAGTAAGCAGTTAACTGCAAATTATATTACTAAGTGTTTTTGTAATTTAAAAAAAGTTATCTGATAATGAGCGACTCTGACGATGACAATTTTGAATATGCCAATTTATCAGACAGTTTCAGCGATGAGAGTGATGATTTCTTGAGTGATGGAAGTAAATCGGAAGATAATGACAACGAGATTTTGGATATAGCAAGGAATTAGTATCAAATTAGTATAAATCAACCAAACGTTGCACCACCGAGATTTCGATTTGAAGCTAACCCTGGCTGTTGTTTTACTCTGACGGATTACGATGATGCTTTGTCAGATTGCTATGATATTTTGTCATACTTTGAATTATTTTTTTATAACTCTCTCATGGACATAATTCTAACTGAAACAAATACAGATATGCATTTCAACATCCAGGATCATCACAGAACCAATGGTCACCGATTACTATGGAAGAATTATACATATATTTTTAGCCATAACTATACTAAAAAGGTATAATTAGAAAGGCCTGAGGTAAGGATGTATTGGTCAAAAGGTTGAAATTTTTCAATCACCTATTTTTTCCGAAGCTCCTTAGCTTCCGTCGCTATTCTGAGATAAAAAGATATCTTCACTTCTCTAACAATGAAACTTACGATGCTGAGATTCACCCCCATCCCAAGCTCAATAAGATATGGCCTGTATTTGACCATATAAATAAAAAGTGTTCTTCTCTATATACACCGGAAAGAGATATCAGAATAGACGAAAGTCTACTACTGTATAAAGGGCGAATGAAATGGAAGCAATATATACCACTGAAACGAAGCTCGTTTCGGAATAAAGATGTACCTTTCTTTGTGAATCAAAAACGGTTACTTATATTCATCCATTATATATACCGGAAAAGGAACGAATATGAGCGATGCATATCGAGAAATGCCGGTATCAACTCAAGTGGTGTTGTCACTGATTGAACCATTATTAGATAAAGGGTACTGTTTGACGACTGACAACTTTTATACTTCTTCCACAATTAGCGGATTTCCTAGTAAAACGTCAAACAGATACCTACGGGAACTCTGAAAAGTACCAGAAAAGAAGTTCCATCTGAAATTAGAAATAAAAAAAAAAAAAAAAAATTGAAAAAGGGAGATGTTATAGCGTTTCAAAGAGGGAAAAGTAATGGTGATGAAGTGGAAAAGACAAAAAAGATGTCTGTTTGCTTTCAACAATCCATAACACACATCAGGAAAATACAAGTAAAACAGCCAATGATGGCACTCAGAAACCGAAAGTTGTAATTGATTACAACGATACAATGGGAGGCATTGATCGGCTTGATCAGCATCTCCACGATTACCCAACAACAAGAAAACGAGGAAAAAGGTACTGTAAGAAAATATTTTTCCATCTTATGGATATATCCGTATGGAATTCATTTGTACTATATCAAAAAAATGGAGGAAAACGGGACCATTTGGAATTCCGTAAAATGCTTGTGAAAAAATTAATTGAAAAATACCATTCAAAAGTGTTACCCAAAAGAACAGGTTGGCCTGGTTACCAACCTGGGCCTCTGAGACTAACTGAAAGGCACTTTCCCGAATTTGTACCACCTACAGAAAAGAAAGCGGCCCCTTGTAGAAATTGCGCCGTTTGTTGCAGTAAAAGAGATGAGAGGGGTAAAAAGATAAGGAAAGAAACAAGATACTATTGTAGGAACTGTAATGTTGGACTTTGTGCAGTACCATGCTTCATGGTATATCATACCAAACTGAATTTTTAGTCATTCTTATGCTTGCAAGTATGAAAATTTGATTTAATTCGATTTTAATAACTTTGAAATTCAAAATAAACATGTAATCCAAATTGTTTACACTTTGTTTGTATAATATATATATATATTTTTAAATTAGCCTATACTTGTACCCCTGTATGTCGTCTTTTCTAATACAAAGGAGCATAACAAAAGACAACTTTAAGTGAAATTATTCCAAAATTAAAAATAAGATTTTTTAATTAAATTTTTAGTTAAAAATTACTTTTATTTGTCGATCATGTCTTAAAATGCACTAGAGAATATGATTATGCAAGAAAAAAAAATAGGTGATTTTTTGACCGAAAATTAGAAATTAATGTGTGCCTTAAGGGGTTAATGCTATTTGGTAAACTTTCAATAAAACAAAGAAATTGTTAAACTTTGGTGTTATGCAATTTAAACTGACAAATTTTAACCCTGGTATTCATGTATTTATAGTTATGCTTGTTTTCTTAAGTTGCAAAATGATTTTGTAATCATATACTCATGCTTTTTACTGTTGGTAGGGGTAATTATTCTTTCAGATAATTAATTTCCAGAAAAATGTGACGAAAAGTGTCTTTATGATATTAATGCATAATTGATGTATTTTATAGGAAATTTTTGATGAATTTCTTATTTTTTGGAAGAACAGTGAAAATAAAATGATTTAAATTTTCTTCTTTTGATCCCAGAGGTCTTTCTCTTAACATGTTTATCTTCCTTTTATTTTCTCATCGTTCTAAACATTGAAGCAATCAAACAAAGCAAAGAAACTGAAAAATTTTTATTAAATTTATTAAAAGTTTTATCATATGTGTATCAATGCACCAGACATATCAGCGCCAGCCCTAAATTTTCTTGCACGGTGCGGTGCTTCACTGAATTCTAAAAATTCTTCCATGTTGACTCTGGTAAGGCCGTGACCTTACATCATTTCATATTTGTTCTCAGTGCTCATATTATATCAGAAGTTAAATTAACCGTTTCTTCTACACATTCTAAGTACAAGTAATTCTAGAATAACAGAAATCTTTAATTAAATCTAAAAATTCTAAAATGGAGAGGAAACTCGTTGAAAAAGAAATTGATTTTAAAGACAGAGAAAATTATTCTTCAAAGATGGATGGTTGAAATATTAACAAATTAGGAGATTAAGCAGAGACTAATGGGAACACTCTTTTGTTTCTTGAAATAACTAAACTTAGAAAAGACGTAAATTAGCTAAAATATCTGGAAAATGTTTTAATTAAAAAGGCATATAAACATTTTGTAGATTTAATGTATTCTAATATCATTTATAATCAATATCATAAGTTATAACCACTGCAAAATGTTCTTAGTGCTTGTTTAATGGATATTTTCTAGAAATAAAAATTGTAATTGTAAATATGTGTGATAAAGGATATTTAACTGCTAAATGTAACAAACTGCCCACCTTTAGAAATTATCTGTATGTGTTAAGGTGAGTTATCTCCTGTCCTTAAACACAGAAATATAAAAATTAACATAAAACTTGCATAACATAAACAGGCATGACAGAACACATCTGTTCTGATCAGTAGCTGTTTGTCTCAGCAGCCAAGCTTCTGTTGTTGAAACACGCTGATTATTATTATTATTTTACTTATGCCACTTGACATAAAATTTGCATAAACCTCTGGACTGAGCGAGTATGAAATGTGACATAGAATCAGTATAAAGTTAACTGTTACCAAAATTTAAATAAAAAGCCACTAATCTTCTTTAAAATATATGGGACTGTTATACATGTTTGAAGAAATTGCACAATTTATTTGAAAAATTTTATGAAATTAAAATTTTATTATTGAATTTTTTATAACTAAATTAAATATTAGTTTATATTTAATAATAATTCATCCTACTTACAGATTTTAGTCTTACAGTTACAAAAATGAAGTTTGGGTGTTGCTTATATATATATATATATATGTGTGTGTGTGTGTGTAGTGCATATAAAATGAACTGCAGACGCATATTATCTGTACTGTCTTTAATTATAATAATGTTAGCTTGATAATAAAATACAGTAAAAAAAAGTAAGGCTGTACTTTAGAATAATGAGCATATTTTGAATCAGAAGTAACTTTCATTACTTTTATGAATAATTTTATAAGTTATAAAAGATACATCTCAAGTTATTTAAAAACATACAAGATTTGTAATTTTTTGACAACCATTCAGGTACCATTCAATGAAATAACATTCCTTGCAAAAATGTTGCAGTAATACAGTACAAAGTCCGGACTTGTCGGGACTTCGGCGATTCCACATTATAGATCATCAATTTAAATCTGGTAAGATGTCATGCAGAAATTATACAATTAAAAATATGAAACCGTAATTTATAAAATAAAGAGCAGTTATGATCTAAAGGGTATCAAAATTTACAAAAAAAAAAAAAAA